ATTAACAATAGAACGAGAGGGAACGGCTTCAAGCTCCAACAGGGGAGGTTTAGATTGAACATTAGGAAGGAATTTTTCACGGAAAGAGTGGTCGGGCATTGGAACAGGCTGCCCAGGGAGGGGGGGGAGTCCCCATCCCTGGCTGTGTTTAAGGGCCGTTTAGATGCAGTGCTGAGGGACATGGTGTAGGGGAGGACTTTGTAGAGTAGGGGAGATGGTTGGACTCGATGATCCCAAGGGTCTCTTCCAACCTAGACCATTCTATCTCCGTTGTCCTGCAGGTGGGACTGGTGCTGCAGTAAGCCAGCCCTTGCCAGGAGAGCGCGGCGCCGCCGAGGAGCCGGCCCTGGCGGAGGTGCTGCCCCTCATCCTTCCCGCCGAAGCCGGACCCTGCGCCGGGAGAGGTGGGACCCCAGGAGCCACCACCGCCTGGACTCACCCAGCGCGTCCCGCAGCGCCGGCCGCCGCTCCCCCGCCGGCGCCAGCCGCCTCCTTTGTTTTGATTTAATTGCATCCTCGTAAAGACGTGATCAAGGGAATGTAACTGCTGAAACTAGCTCATGATTGGCATATAATGGAGTTAACGGGTGAATAATAAAAGTATATATTATATATATTTTAAATCTTTCCTGTTCCAAACTGGCACGAGTCGCATTCGTCTGCCCAAGGCCGCCGGCGGGTCGCTGGACCGTGACTTTTCTCGACGGGGCCATCCCAGGTAGATGCTGGCTGCGCTGACGGGCCGGGGAGCACCGGGACGCAGTGGCCGGGCTGCCCAGCCTTCCCCGTGGCCTGGAGGGGGTTTTGGGGCTCCTCGGCTGGTCTCCCCCCGGCTCACTCGCTCCTCCGTTAAACCCGCTCCTTCCCAGGGGTGCCCGGAGAGGGAGGATGGCACCGTCCCCCCCCGCGGGCTTGGGAGCACCTCAGAATTTTCTTTCTAAGGGCTATTTGTGCAAGCGCTGCCTTGTCCCTTCTCCTCCCCAGCCTCGGAGACTCCAATTCTCTCTGCTCAACGGGGCAAGCGCTGGACCCAGGAGCAGCAGCGCCCGAAGATTTGGGGGGGACCCGGCTCCTCGCTGCCGCAGGAGCTCATCCAGTGCACCCCGCTCCTCAGGGTCGTTCCTCTCGTGACGCCGGGGCACCGGGGGGATGATCTTGTCTCCACCACCACACCTCCAGGCTCCCTGCTGGGCTGCTTTTCTCGGGAAGCATGGAAATACGGATACACACGCAAGCGACTGCCCCACGACGCGCCGTCGGCATCACCCCAGACCTTCAGCCTCTTCGGCCACCCCGGCGCCTCCTCCACCAGGCTCTTCTCGTGCCACGGGAACCTCCGAGGTAAAGGGATTGTTTTCTTTCGTGGAAGCCCTTTATCCCGTGGAGATGTGTTGGGAAATAAGCACCGGGGCAGCCTCCTGCCTTCACCTGAACCCTGTCCACGACGAGCTCTGAGACGCTCCTGCCCTCCCAGCCAAAGGTTTCCACAGCTGCACGCCAAGGCCACGACCCCGTCTATGCACTCCCGCACCTCCCCGTCCCTCTGTGTCCCCATCGTGTCCCCACGGCACACCACAGACCCTGAGGGGCTTTGCCCACCCTGGCCTGGACCTGCAGGGCATGAGTGGGGGGCCAGGAGCCCGTCACATCCCCCCACCGTGGGCAGTGCCATCGCATCCCCCCTGCTCGGGGTCCCCTGTCACCTATGCAAGTACCTCCGTGTCCTCTCCTGCGTCCTCTCCCGTGTCCCTGTTGTCCTGGCCTGGGGGTGGCTGGGAGGGAGGGGTGTCTGGTGAGACCCTCCCCCTGTCCCCATGGCATTTTTGGGGGCTCCTCGTGACGATTTTGCCCCCAACACATGGGTGCTTGCCAGCTCCCCAGGGCAGTGCTGTGTTTGGGGGTGGGATCAGCCCTTATCCCCTCCCCCTGAGCCTCTTCTCCCACCCCCCAACGGGCTCCAGGAGGTGACAGGGACACCAGGACAGGCTCTGTTAAAATAAAACCTTTATTTGACTGGCTTGACACCGGGGTATAAATCTGTGCCCGTCGCTGGTGCTGGAGCAGGGGGTGGGAACCAGCCAAGCCAGGCCTTGATGCCATGGGCACAGCGGGGCGCGTGGTGACAATGTCCCCTGAGGGACACTGCGTGGTGGCAGGGTCCCCTCGGGAACCTCATGGTGATGGCACTGTCCTTGCAGCCCAAGGAGGGGCTGGGATGGAGCAGGGCCAGTGGTGGTGACATTCGGGGGTTGCTGTCACCCATCTCGCCCCCCCTGGGGCTGTGTTGGCCTTTTGGTGGCCTGGCCACCCCATCCTGGTTGTCACAGCGTCCCTGTCCCCCTGGGGGTCACAGCCAGGGAGGGGGGGCACAGAGGGCAGAAGATGGGGTGGCACTATGGGACATGGAGGGGGTCCCCTACTCCCTGGGGTCCCGCAGCCAGCCCTGCTGTCACTGTGGCCGGGTGAGCGGTGTCCCCAGGCTGTCCCCACACAGGGAGCAGGGTGTCTCTGGTGCAGGAGGATGCCCACCCCATGGAGGACCAAGTTGTCCCCCACAGGGGTACGTGATGTCCCTCCCAGTGGGACCGCGGGGACCTCACAGGTTCTTGCACCGAACGTGCACGAAGAGCGTGGCCGGGGACAGGGACGCCCCGTCCCTGGAGAGCAGATGGATGTGGCGATACCCTGGGGACAGAGAGAGGGGCTGAGCGGGTGGCAGGGGACCGTCCCCCGACCCCGGGGATGCAGCGGGGGGGGGCACACACCCACCTTCCCTCATGCTGGCCAGGGGCAGGGTGAACTGTCCCACGAAGTCATTGCAGGAGGTGCTGTCGTAGTCCTCCACCACGAAGCGCACCAGGGCCAGCTCGGGCGCCCGCAGCTGGAAGCTCAGCGTCTCCTCCCAGCGCGGGTTGAAGCCTGCGGCACCGGGACGGGGGGTGGGCACGGCCACCGGGGCCACCAAGGCCACCTGCCACCCCTGCCCCAGCTTAGCTGCCATCCTGCACTAGGCTATACTGGGGAATGGGGACCATACTATGGCCAGGTTTCCCTGCCCCAGCTTAGCTGCCATCCTGCACTGGGCTATACTGGGGAATGGCGACCATACTATGGCCAGGTTTGTCTGTACTGGAGGAATGGGGGTGACACTGGGGCTGGGCTGGACTATACTGGGGAATGGGGGTCATACTGGGGCCAGACTGGGCTATACTGGGGGAATGGAAACCACACTAGGCCCAGGCTCGTCTATACTGGGGGAAGGGGGTGATACTGGTGCCAGGCTGGACTATACTGGGAGAATGGGAGTCATACTGGGGCCAGACTGGGCTATACTGGGGGAATGGAAACCACACTAGGCCCAGGCTCGTCTATACTGGGGGAAGGGGGTGATACTGGTGCTGGGCTGGACTATACTGGGAGAATGGGGGTTGTATTGGAGCTGGGCTTGGCTATACTGGGAGAACAGGGGTCATACTGGGCTTGGGCTGGGTATACTGGAGAACAGGTGGGAGCAGCACTGGGAAGAACTGGGACATGCTGGTGCCCTACCACTGGTGGGGATCGGGCTGTGCTGGGGATGAAGCACTGCAGGACTGGGGTGTACTGGGGGGATTGGGGTGTCCTGGGCACTGGCTCAACTGGGGTGCAAGGGTCCTGACATCCCCTAGGATCAGGGTGCCCTGGGGTGTCCCTGGTGACCAGCTGTCTTGTGGTGTCCCCAGGGATCAGGGCGCCCTGGGGTGTCTCCAGGGACTGGGTGCCCTGGGATACCCTGTGGACCAAGTGCCTTGGGGTGTCCTCTGAGGACCGGGTGTCCTGCGGTGTCCCTGGGGATCAGGTGCCCTGGGATACCCTGGGGACAAGGTGTCTTGTGGTGTCCCCAGGGATTGGGTGCCTTGGGGTGTCCCTGGTAACCAGGTGTCCTGGGGTACCGTGGGGTGTCTGGTGACCAAGTGCCCTGGGGTGCCCCTGAGGACCAGGTGCCCTGGATACCCTGGGGATGAGGTGTCCTGGGGTATCCCTGGGGATCAGGGTGCCCTGGGGTGTCCCCGGTGGCCGGGCAGTGGTGGCCCAGGGGACACACTCACCATTGTTGAGCTTGTGGTGGGTCTGCTGCTTGCTGCAGTCGGCCGGGACACCGTGGATCTCCACCCGCACGAAGGGGTCCACGATGGAGCTCCCCTTCTCCCGGTTCAACTTGGGCAGCTGCTGCGCCGTGATCACCTGGGGACACAGGGCACCGGTGGCACGGGGCACTGCGGGGTGGCAGGACCCAGGAGAAGGGACGTGGGTGGAACACAGGTGGGTTTGGGGACGGTGTCACCAGGAGAAGGGATGTGGATGGCACATGGCTGGGTGCAGGGACAAGGTTGGTGTCCCCAGGAGGTGGAATGGTGGTGGCACACAGCTGAGTTTGGGGACAGTGTCCCCAGAAGAAAGGATGTGGGTGGCACATGGCTGGGTGCAGGGACAGGGTTGGTGTCCCCGGGAGATGTGGGTGGCACAGAAATGGGTTTGGGGACAGGTCTGGTGTCCCCAGGAGAAGGAATGTAGGTGGCACACGGCTCGTTTGGGGACAGGCTTGGTGTCCCCAGAAGGAATGTGGGTGGCACAGCACACAGCTGGGTGTGGGGACAGGGTTGGTGTCCCCAGGAGAAAGGATGTAGGTGGCACATGGCTGGGTGTGGAGACGGGATTAGTGTCCCCAGGAGAAGGAATGTGGGTGGCACACGGCTGGGTTTGGGGACAAGTTTGGTGTCCTCAGGAGCAAGGATGTGGGTGTCACACAGCTGGGTTTGGTGTCCCCAGGAGAAGGGCCGTGGGTGGCATTTGGCCGGGCATGGGGATGGGGTCAGTGTCACCCAGAAGAGCAGTTGGTGACACGCAGGTGGGTGTGGGGTTGGTGTCACCTAGGAAAAAGGTGCGTAGGGGCCCCTGGCTGGACATGGGGTTGTCACCCAGAACGGATGTGGGTGGCACCTGGTTGAACGTGGGGTTGGTGTCACCCCATAGGGACATGGGTGGCACCTGGCTGTGCGTGGGCATGTTGTCACCTGGGAAAAGGGATGCAGGTGGCACCTGGCCAGGCATGGGAATGTCAGGGATGTCACCCAGCAGGGATGTGGGTGTCACCCACCCCGGGGAGCGGGGTGCCCTCACCCTGATGTGCAGGGCCAGGCGGCGGGGTCCCTCTCCGGGGGGGCTGCGCAGGCAGGGGGGCTTCAGCACGTAACCACAGCGCCCGTTGCCCAGGAACCGCCCCGCGTTCAGGTCCATCTCGTAACCCGGCGTCTGGAAGTTGAGGGCCACTGTGGGGACAAGGGGGACGGGGGGTCAGGGTAGGTGACAGCTCCCGAGGGAGGGGGTGCCAGGTCAGGGGGTGTCTCCTGGGGGTCTCACCCAGCTGGCAGCCGACGTTCCACATCTCCTGAGGGTTGTAGTTGGAGGAGTTCATCTTCAGCCCCAGCGGGTAGATGCGGCTGAGTTGCCGGGCGTTGTACCGGACCAGCGCCGGGCCTGGGACGGGGGGGACATGGGTGAGTGGGACCCCTGCACCCATGGGTGCCACTGCGGGGCCCTGCCGGTGGGTGACAGTGTCCTGCCTGGGGACACGGACGGAGCCTGCCCGGCTGGGTGGACCCAGAGCCGGAAAGCGGGCTCTGAGGTTCAGATCCCAACCCTGGAGCTTGACTTTGGATCCTTGACCCCAGGCACTGACCTTAGACCTTGGACACGGACCTAGATCTTAATCTGAGGCCTGGACCCCAGACCATGATCCTGGATCCTGGCCTTGACCCCACACCTTGACCTTAGACCCCTGACCCTGGACCTTGATCCTGGATCCCTGACTCTGGACCTCAGACTCCAAAACCAAACCCCAGACCCTGGACCCCCACCCAGATCTTAATCCCAGCCCTGGACCCTGGACCCCAGACCCTGAACACAGACTCAAACCTTAATTCCAGCCCTGGACCCCAGACCCCAGGTCCTGACCCTGGACCCTGAACCCAAACCCCCAACCTCGACCCCAGATTCCAGATCTCAGTCCCTGGACCCTGACCCCGATCTTCATCCCAACCCCTGACCCCAGACCTTTACACCAGACATTTATCCTGCACCTGTGACCATCACCCTGGCCTCTGGCCCGAGACCCTGATACCAGACCCCAGTCCCACCAGCCCAGAGCAGCCTGACCAGGACCACCATGTCCCCAACTGTCACCCATGGAGTCACCCCAATGACAGAACCCATCGGTCTCAGCTTCAACCCGCATCCTGGTGAGGTTAAGAAGCATGGAGCCACTCTGTCCCCATCCCGTTGCCCTCACCAGCCTCCTTGATGAGCTTCCGAGCCTTCCTCTCGCTGAAGGAGGACATCTCGCAGGGCCGGGGGTGTTGCAGGGCATGGGCCAGGCCAGGGAAGGGCACAGCCTGGCAGTACACCACCACAGCCGACAGCTCCGGGGCCACCTGTGATGCATCTTTGGCCTGCAGGAGCCACCACTGTGTCAGGACCACCCTGACTCTGGTGGCCACCCGCATGCCTGAGGGTCTACAGACCTCCCTACCCTGCTAGTGCTGAGCGCTGAGACCCCCAAGGCCCCTAAAGTGAGGGAGAACTGTAGGCAATGGAGTGATGGACCCTGAGATGATGGAGAACCTAAGCAGGTTGAGACCCTGAGGTCATGGAGAACCCAAGGTGATAGACAACCCAAGATGTTAGAGACCCCAAGGTGATGGCAACCCTGAAGTGGTGGACATCTCAAGATGATGAAGAGCTTGAGGTGACAGAGACCTCAAGGTGATGGAGAACTGAGGCAATGGAGAACACTCCCCCAAGGCAATGCTGGTCATGCTGGAGGTGATGGAGACCCAAGGCCACAGAGTTCCCAAGGCAATGGAGACCCCAGAAATGGACCACCCAGCCCCACAGGGGAAGAGGGAGGCACAGCCAAGGAGCCCCCAAGCTCAGTCCCCGCTGCTCGGCAGTGACAATTCCTCACCACCCCGACCATACCCAACCCGTCAGCTCTGTCACATGACCCACCTGTAGGGGTTTGATCTCCTGCAGCGACTGCAGCGACTGGAAGAGGAGAGAGCAGGGCTGTGTCAGGGGATGCTGGCAGTGCTCACCTTTCCCCGGCCCCACCACAGCTGGGACACAATGGACCTGTGGCACTGCCAGGACACTGTGGTCCTCCAGGACCACCAGGGTGCCATGGTCCCCCAGCACCACCAGGATGTTGTGGTCCTCCAGGACCACCAGGATGTTGTGGTCCTTCAGGATCACCAGGACACCATGGTCCCCCAGCACCACCAGGATGCTGTGGTCCTCCAGGATCACCAGGACACCATGGTCCTCCAAGATCACCAGGACACCATGGTCCCCCAGCACCACCAGGATGCTGTGGTCCTCCAGGATCACCAGGACACCATGGTCCTCCAAGATCACCAGGACACCATGGTCCCCCAGCACCACCAGGATGCTGTGGTCCTCCAGGATCACCAGGACACCATGGTCCTCCAAGATCACCAGGACACCATGGTCCCCCAGCACCACCAGGATGCTGTGGTCCTCCAGGATCACCAGGACACCATTGTCTTCCAGCACCACAGCCCTGGGAGATCCTCTTACCCGCCGGCTGCTTCTCTCCTGCAGCTTCTCCTCTTCTTCTTCCTCCTCTTCTTCTTCCTCCTCCTCATGGTCCAGAAGGGAGGTGACACCCTGGGGCTCATGCCACGTCTCTGGCAGCTTCTTGCCCTTCACCAGGACTTTCCCCTTCAGCTGCTGTGGAAGGAAGGGCCAAGCTCAGGGCTCAGAGGGGACATGGGGACACTGCGGTGGGCGGGTGGGTGGCCTTACCTCGGGGGATGGGAGGTCGTGGGGGTCCTGCCCCTCCAGCGGCTGCGTCAGCAGCATGTCCCCCAGGATGGCCTTCATGTGCCGGGCCATGGTGGCCTGCTGCTCCAGCCCACAGTGGTTCTCCAGGGACAGGATGACAGGGTAGGGCGATTGCTGGGGAGGGGGACGGGCAGGGCTCAGCACCCGTCCCCCAGCACCCACCTCCCCTCCCAGGGCACCCGGCCCACCTTGAAGGCGTAGTCGCGGATGCTCTCGATGACATCGCGGAAGAGGATTTTGGAGGTGAGCGTGTGGCCGTGGTAGACGATGGGTTCCCCGTCGGAGCCCTCCCAGCAGTCCAGCTCCACACAGCGGCACCCCGCCATCAGCGCCCTGCCACCACACCGGATGAGTCCCCGCGCCGCCCCGGCACCCTCGGACCATGGGACCATCTGGGCACGGAGAGTCTGACCAGGGGCACCCACCTGACATAGGCCTCGGTGCTGCTGGTGCCACCGATCTGGTTGCGGGTCAGGTAGGTGTTGTGGGAGGAGGAGATGAAGTAGTGGCACAGGGGCTGGCTCATGTCCTGGTGCACCTTGGTGTGCTCCTGGTTGAGGATGTCACCGGCGGCCGAGAGGAGGTACATCATGAAGCCGTCCAGCATCATCAGGTCCTGCTGCCTGGCTGCGGGACACAGCGGTGGGGTGTCACAGAGGGTGGCACCCCAGAGACCGTCCCCATCTGGATGTCCCCTTCCTCCCAGCAGTGCCATGTTCACCCCAGACCTGGCACTGCAGCACCCACAGGACATGTAAGTTTTTTCTAGTATCCCATCTCCATCCTGATGTCGCTCAAGCCTGCTAGTGCCACATTCACCCTGGACATGGCATGGTGGCACCCATGAGATGTGGAGGTTCCCTGTCCCCACCCTGATGTCTTCTGTCCTCATAGTGCCATGCTCACCCTAGACCTGGCACTGTGGCACTTGGGGGATGTGGAGGTCCCCTTGGTGTCCCATCTCCACCCTGATGTCCCCCTACTCTGCAGGTGACACATCTACCCTACTGTGATACTCAAGAGGCATGGAGGTCCTTCAGCCCTACCATGATGTCCCCTGACCTCCTAGTGCCTTGTTCACCCTGGACTGGCCATAGTGGGACCCAAGGGACATGGAAGTCCCCCAGCAGTGTCACATTCAGGCTAGGGCTGGCACTGCATCACCCAGGAGACATGGAGGTCCACCTGCTGTCCATCCCCACCTTCATGTCCCCTGTCCCCACAATGCCACATCCACCAGGGATCAGCAAGGTCACGTGTGGGACTGCTGGCACCCATTGTCACCCCGGGGAAGGGACATGGGGACACTCACCCAAGCCTTGGAGGACCCCATACCAGCTTGGGGGGCTGATACCACCAACCACAGACCCAACCCCCCACCATCCATGGCCTCCCTTGGCTCTGGCGGTGCCTGTCCCACCATCCCACCACCACCCATGAACCGAGCTGCCCGTCCTCAGCCCTACCCTTCTCGTTGAGCTCGTAGGTGCGGATGATGGCGCGGGCCTGGCGCAGGCTGGCGTCCTCCCCCTGATCCCGCAGGAAATCCCGCAGCTCCTCGGCCGACAGGACCCGGTCCTCCCCCGAGTAACGCCCAAAAAGCTCCTCCAGCTCCGGCCGCCGCAGCAGCCGGCGGCAAAACTCCTCCACCTCCCGGCCCTCCAGCCGCTCGTTGCCAGAGCGGTCGCACTCCTGGTGGGACCACAACCCAACCTCGGGGACCATCCCCTGCCCACGGCCACCCCCTGCCTCCTCCCGCCCGTCCCCTGGGGTTGGCAGCGTGTGTGATGAGTTTGGGGGGCTCAGGGGATGGGGTGCGCTTAGAGGGATGCGGTGGCATGTCCCCTCTGCCCCCCCCCCCCCACCGTAGCCCTCTGACCTTCCAGTGTGGGATGGAGCAGAGCACCCTGCCTCAGTTTCCCCAGGTGGAAAAGGGACCTTGGGAGATGCCCATGGGGGCAGCACCCCATGGTGGGGGGAATGTCACACCTTGGGGACCCACAGAGCAGTGCGGGGGGGAACAGCTCACCCCACCCCATCATGAGGTCCTGCTCGTGATGGAACCCAGCCATTGGTGGTGGTGGGTGGCTTTGGGCGTGATGAGTTTGACAGTTCTCTGCGCTTGGGAAGGCAGAGGAGGAGCCAGCATCCCCTCCCGGTGGCAGCAGCGGGGGGACAGGATGGGTACCTTGAAGAGCTTGTAGGCGTAGACATCGTCCATGTCGATGTTGATCATCCTCAGCATGCTCTTCACCTCCCGGAAGGACATCTTGTTGTCCTTGTTCCTGTCTGCTCGCTGCAGGACCCCGTGGATCCAGCTATGCCAGGGTAAGGAAACCACCCAGTGTCACCCCCGTGGCCACCCCCAGCCTGTCCCCAAGCCCCCATAGCTCCCACAAAGGATATTGGTCGAGCTTCTCCGGTTGACTCATGGCCTGCAGCCGCCCCATCAGCTTGGAGAGCCCTTGCACCCAGTGCCGGGCGTCCTCCTCGCCCTGGGCGGCCAGGTCCAGGTTCTTGCGCTTGCCCTTGAAGACGAGGGTGAAGCAGTGCCGCTCGGGGAAGGCGGCTCCGTGCTGGCGCAGACCCTCCGACTGGCGTCCCTCGCGCACCGCCTCGATGTGCATCACCGAGACTGCAGGGACACGCGCGGTGACGGAGCCACCCGGGGGATGGAGGGGGTTCCTCGGCACTTCCCCCACCCACGAGCATCCTGCAGGACAGCCCGGCTGCTGACGGACACCCCGCGTGTCCCCAGGGACCCCCCCGGGGCAGCGGGGCTGGGCTGCTGTCGATGGCACAGCCGGGCTTAACTCCCTAATCCCGGGCGAGACAGGAGCGGTGGCCGCTGTCCCCCGCGGGGTTGGGGACAGGGACGCTGGCAGCGAGGGAGCTGTCTGGCAGCGGTGCCAGCTCTGGGCACCCGTCCCAGATGCGAGGGTGGAAAGAGACGGGTGACGCCGGGGAGCGGGGACAGAGTCTGGCCGGGATGGAGAAGGGACCTCGTGACAGTCCCAAGGGGGACGGGGGAGGGTGTGGGCTGGGGGTCCTCGGCTTGGGGTGCACTGGGATGCACTGGGAGGCACTGGGAGGCACTGGGTGCAGTGGGTTGGGATCTGGGTCCTGGGTGGGGGACTGTGTTCTGGCACTGGGAGGCACTGGGTGCAGTGGGTTGGAATCCAGGTCCTGGGTGGGGGGCTGTGTTCTGGACTGGGGTTCACATTTTGGGTCAGGATTTGGGTCCCAGGATGGGGGTGCGGGTCCCA